AATAATGGGCAGTGGGCGTGACAATCGCAAGGATCATGATGACGACCTTCAGACCCGAGAGTGCTGAGCCAGTGGATGATGTGTACCCAACCCCCCCTCCTTCCTCCCTCATCCACCGCCTCTCTGGAGGTCTCTGGAGTTCTCCGCGAAAGGTCTCTGGAGGCCCAGACAAGCGAGCCCGAGGCTCCTCCCGAGAACCTTTATATCTCCTCGTCCGTTTTGCTCGGCAACCGCTTGCGCAGCACCGCGACGAAGTCCGATGATCACTGCGGCCGACGTGCGCGCTGGAGGAACTAGCCCGGCTGGGGAAGCGGCCTCGACGGGGCATCCCCCCAGACACAGCCTCACCCGCCCGCGGAGCACCAAACTGGGCCACAAGGCGCCAGAACAGCTCGACGCGCGTCCGTGCGTTCTTCACCTCCCTGCCCCCCTCCTTCCTCCCTCTCTCCTCCTCCTCCTCCTCCTCCTCCTCATCTCCTCCTCCTACTCTCATCTCCTCCTCCTTTTCCTCCTCCTCTCTCTCCCCTCATCATCTCCTCCTCCTTCCTCCTCCTCCTCCTCCTCATCACTCCCCCCTCCTTTCCACCTTTACCCCCCTCCTCCTCCCCTCCTCCTGCCTCCCCCTGCCTCCCCCCTCTTTCTCCTCTCCTCCTCATCCTCCTCCTCCTACTACCTCCTCCTCCTCTCTCCCCTCCTCCTCCTCCTCTTCTCCACTCCCCCTTCCTTCACCTTTCTCCCCCCTCCTTCCCCCCTACCTCCTAACTCCTTCCTTCCCTATTCCATCCTCCTTCCTCCTCCACTCCTCTCCTCATCCTCCTCCTCCTCCTCCTCCTCCTCCTCCTCCTCCTCCTCCCCCTTCTCCTACTCCTCCTCTTCCTCCCTCTCCACCCTTATCCTTTCTGGGGCACCTTTTCCCTGTCGGACCACCAGACGCGTCGGTAGGGCGGGCTGGGCGTTTCACCCGGGTTCCTTTTGTGCACTTGTGACCTTGTCGCTAGCATTGGCTAACCTGTTTCAGGATGGAAAGGGATCTATTTCCATGTGGCTCTCCCCCTAGCGCCGCGCACCTCCCTTGTGCCAGCTCGCCAAAACTGCTAGGATGGATGGGTGAGGGAGGGGGTCAATTGGGACTTCCGCGATGGAGCCATGCACATTCGTCTTACCAGCTTGTAGCAACTACTGGGACGGAGGGTGGCTCCTTTTCAAACTGGTTCCCGCCATCGCGCCGCGCGCAGTCGTCTTAACAATTTAGAACAATCCAGATGGAGGCGGTCCATTTTCGAAGTGGGGCCTTGCCGTGGCGCCGCGCGCAGCTGTCTAAACAGCTTGCAGTTTGCCCTATCTACAGGGATGGAGGGCGGCCCGTTGTCGAATCTGGGATGTCGCCCTGCAGCCGCGTATTTGGATCTGTCGATGTGCCGATGTCGCGCCGCGCACAGTCGGCCTAACAAATCGTGATAGCTACGCGGATGGAGGACGGTCCCTGTCCAACATGGGGCTGCCGCTTGAAGGTTCATCACGCCCCAATGCCAGAACTTGCACGCATGGGAGTCGGCTCCTTCTCAAAATGGGGCTCTCGCTTGAGAGTTCCTCGCGCTGAAGTCGCAGAAATGCGAACTCCTCTAACCGCCACGCGGACGCAGGGGATCCTGTTCAAGACGGGTCTCTCGCTGGACACTTCTTTGGGCTTTACGGCCCCTCCCCCTTTACATTCCGTATCACTCGCTGGAAGGACTCGATGCTGCTCCTTTCTCAAAACGGTGCTCCCGCCTGAAGGGCGGGCCCTTGCAGGAAAAGGAAACCGCGTCTTGTAGTGACAAGGAAAGACTTGCAGGGACGTGTGAAAAAAGAAAGGACATTCGGGACGGGAGGATGTGTTGCACTTTGGTGACGCATCTAGGGGTTACTCAGGTTTTCCCGTTCTTCTTTGCCGTCCTCCTCTTCCTCCTCCTCCTCCTCCACCACGGTGCGCCTCCCGGACGCGCGGGGACCGCCCTCCTCCTTGTGGACGGTTCTGGCCGAGGATGGGCTCCCCAGAACCCGTTTTCCCGGGTCTTAGGACCGTCAAGACCTTTGAGGACAAACGGGTCCCGGGGAACCCCCGGGGCCCAAGGCCGGTTTCGTTTTTTTTTGTCGTTCCCGTCCGGGCCGCGCACGGGGGGTCCGACTAGACGTAAGAGTGACCTTTCGCCGGAGTGACCCTTGGTGCGGGCACAGATGGGCCCTCGTATGGCTGAAGACGCAGCGGTAGCAGCGGCTTGCGCGCCCAGGTCGCCCCGCGGCCCCCAAAAAGCCGCGCACCAAAGGTCACTCTTACCCAGGGTCGCTCTTGCGGGTAGCCCAGGGGTGCTGATGGGGTCGGAGGATCGAGCCGCATCGCCGGTCCAGCGGCGTGCCTCGAGCGCTCTGGGCCCAGCACCGCTTCGCGGCGTGGCCGGCCCTCGCCCCTCGCGAGGGCAGAGCTCGGTCGCTCGGGGTGGCCCGAGCGGGAGCGGTATACGGTAGGTTCGCGCGCCGCGTCGACGCAGCGGCGACCCCCGCGCGGGCGTTCGAGGTTGAGCGCCGCCAGCGGCGTAGGAATTGGCCGGCATCGAGCGATGATCGCTGTCGGAAGGCCGCGATCGGTCAAGATTGAGCGATCCACGGACATCACGGCAGCGTGAAGTTGCCGTAGTTGGATGGGGTCGGGGGGCCACGCCGCATAGCTGGTGCATCAGCGGAACGGCGCCGATGCTTTGCCGATGCACCGGCGGTTCGGCGTGATCCTCAGGCTCCACCTGCTCTGGTCCCGCTTGTGTGGCGTCCAGTCCCCTGGAAGGAACGGGCACCAAGGCGGCGAGCAGGCAGGTGCCAAAGCAGGGGAACGGAGAGGACATGGCACTGGAATGGAGGATGACCGAGGCTCGGGGCTAAAAAAAAACTACCAGGTGAGCGACGCGACGAAACAGGGCCTGCTGTGCCAACACTGGCGCGCACGCTGCCCGCGCGAGGTCGCGCGTACTACGCGCCCTCGTCTCCGCTGGCGCTGTGCCTCGCCGGCGGCCCGCGTACGCCACCACGTTGAGGTCGCGGTGCCATCTCGCGTAAGGCTCGTTTTCTGTCGTTGCCCAGATGCCTCCATCGACCCTTGGAGACCTCTGGGGTACTCGGGGTCTTTCTGGGGTCTTCCGTAGATCCCTGGAGACTTCTGGGGGGCGAGGAGACAGGGAATAAGAGTGGAAGAGGAGGAGGAGGAGGAGGAGGAGGAGGAGGAGGAGGAGGAGGAGGAGGAGGAGGAGGAGGAGATGGAGATAGGAGGATGATTCTGATCGGAGGAGGAGGAGGAGGAGGAGGGGGGGAGGAGGAGGAGGAGGGAGAGGAGCAGGAGGAGGAGGAGGAAGAGGAGGATCAGGCGGATCAGCAGGATATCGAGGAGGAGGGGGATGAGGAAGAACATGAGGTTTCTGCCCCGCAATGAAGAAGGCGATCTCTGCATGGGGGCCGCTCGAAGGACGAGGAACAGCGGTATCAGAGTAGCAGGAAGGATGCAGAAGTGGGTGACTGAGTGAGTTAGCAAGTAAGGGGGTGAGTGAGTGAGTGAGTGAGTGAGTGAGCGAGGAGGAGGAGACGGCGGAGGAGGAGGAGGATGAAGAGGAGGAGGTGTCACCTCGAATTCTTGGTGAGCGGTTGACATCCTTGCGCGTGAGCTCGTTGCGGGGTAACTTCTCTGGGGGGATAGATCAGCGGTCGCATTCGCCATGGCTGCTCGCGCATGCCACAACGACGAATGGGGTGCCGCCTGAAGGCGTCCCATTCGTCGGCCAGTGAAGACAAACACACGTTCCAGTGGCGCGAGTGATAATTTGGTCTTGCCAATGGTCCACTATTTCTGTTCCAACCATCCTCCGTAGCCATGTTGGCTCAAGCGGCCCCGCCGCCGCGCCCCCGGGGGGGCGCGCCCCCCTCGCCTCCCGTGCCCGTGGGCGGAGCACCCCGTGGTGCTCTGGCCCTACGCCCCCGCCGTGCTCGGCCGCCCGCGCCCCAGCCGGCCCAGCGCCGTGGACTCTGGCCACCCTCATCCCCCCCCGCGGGGCGCCCCTGCGGCCGTGGCGCCCCCCGCGGCGCGCCGCGCGCGGGGGCGGGCGCGGCCTGCGCCCGCGCGGAGCGCCGCGGCCCGCGTGGGCGCCGCGGCGGGCGCTTCCTGCGGGCTCGCGGGCCGGAGGGCGGCCGCCCGCGCGCGCGGGGCCGCCACGGGCCTGCTGGCCGCGCCGGACACTCCCAGCGAGGAGTGCCTGTGCTGCCTGCCCGACCTCGGGGCGCGCTCCTACTGGATGCAGAATCGCGTGCAGAGGGCGCTTCGGGATCGTGTCTGGGGGCTCTCCGACATCGAGCTCGTGTGTCTGGGCCTGTGCCCTATCAGGGAGCAGGCCAGCTTCCTCGCCGAGATCACGGGATCAGGCTCGGTGGGCGGCCGGCTTCTCGGAAAGGCTCGGGCAACGGTACTTGAAAAGTGGGGGCAGCGCGTAAAATGGATGGCGTCCAGGATAGACGATGACCAGCTCAATCGGTTAAAATCGCACAGCATGGACGAATGGGATGAACAAGTTTTGAATGTCGAGCGTGGGGCCGAACAGAAGCGAGCAGTCTTCGCGGAGTTCCCGAACAAGGAGTATAGCCGACCCGAATTCTTGCAAAGTTTTGTGCATAGAAATCTACAAGACGTGGTCGGCGCGCTCAGTGACGGAGCATTGAGGGTTCTCGGGTCGTTGCCTTATCCTGATCAGGAAGGAGCGCTTGACCAGATTCAGAAGCATGACGCTATCAAACATTTCGAGAGAGAGAGCGAATGCTTCACCACGTCCCGAAGAAGGAGCGGGATTTAGCCAAGAACTTCACAGACGTCATGCTTCGACGTTTCATTCCTTTCCCAGAGTCGTTCTTAGCCCCGTATTTGACCGAATCGGGCACGCAGAACACGCAGTTGGAGAGAGGTGTTGTGAGCCAGATTGAAGACCAGAAAGGCCAGGCCACGCCAGACGCGGGCCAGTCAACCTTTCGACGCCTTGGCCCGCCTCCTGCCGCCCCTGCTTTTTGCATCTTCCTGAGAAGGCTGCTGGACCAGTTGAGCACAGAGATAGTGTCTGGCAAGATTGACTTCGAGGTAATGAGCGATGACTGGTCACATGACAGCGTCCTCGGCGTGTGCGCGACCGGAACTCTTCTCCGCAGTGGCAGCATCGACTTGCTGGCTATCGCTGGAGAGTCTATGGAACCATTCGCTTTAGACGTCCAGGCGCTCTCGCGGGAGGCGCCGGGATACGAGCTAGTGGCGATCAAGAAGGTGCTCGAGGACGAGGATGTCGTCAAGGTCGTGCACGATTGCCGGGCCCTCTCGGACGTCCTGAAGCACCGCTACGGCATCCAGTTGCGGGGAGTGTGGGACACGGATGTGTCCTGGGGGATGCTCCACGGAGCGTCGACAGAGCCCGTGTCGTTGCAGAGGGCGCTGCTCAAGTACAAGCCGGATGTTGCGAGGGCGATAGCGCAGCAGCAGGAGGAGCAGGAGGAGGAGTTGGGGCCGCTGGAGCGTCTCCGAGGCCAGCTGCGGCCCGCGGGCGCAGCGCCCGGCGGGGGGGCGCCCGACGGCGCCCTGCTGCCCCAGCAGCTGGCGCAGATGGCCGAGGCGCTTCGCTGCATGGCCATGGAAATGGGGCCGAGTCTGGAGGATCGCCACGTGCAGCGCTTCGGCAGAGAGTGCCAGAATCGGCTGAGTGAGTTCCGGGACTGGCCCGGCCAGCACCCGAAGGCTTTCCAGGACAGCGCTTGGAGGCCATTCGAATTCTCTGGAAGAAAGCTTTGCATCAGCGGTGTATTGGTCGGTCAGGCGTCCAAGGAGGAGGCAGATCTTCAGTCGAAGGCCCGGGAGGACCTCGAGTCAAAAGAGCTCGACAGGCTGCTGTCATTGCTGCCAGAGGAGGCCAGGAAGGCAGTGGTAGACCACATGACGGGGCTCCAGGAGCCAGGATTCTTGGTGGAGGTAGTTCTCGGAATCAATCGCCCAGTGGAGGTCTGCTGGTGGGACCCGAAGAGAGGGAAGTCGCAGGCCGAGGTGGAGTGCACGGTCTCGCGGACACAGATGAAGAGCATCGTCGAAGACATGAGATCCCAAGGCATGACCTTCAATCGGCAGGAGCGCGCCGGCATCGACGGGACCCTGCACATGATCTCCGCGACCCGCAGCGAGCCCGCGGGCGACGTCGTGGCGCTCAACATGCGGGCGGGCAGGGCGAGCGAGCGGCTGGCACTCCTGCTCGAGGACCTCTTCGCGGGCCCCGGGTCGGTGCTGCTCCTGGGGCCCCCCGGAGTGGGCAAGACGACGCTGCTCCGGGCCCTGGCCGGGAGGGCCGCGCGGCCGGAAGGGCCAGGGCCGCTCGAGGAGGAGCGGCAGAACTCGGGGGTGCCCACCTCGCGGCCGCTGAGCATGGTCGAGAAGAGGGTCGTCCTCGTGGACCCCGCGGGAGAGCTGGCAGGCGGTGGGGACGAGTGCCACCCGTCGGTGCTTCCAGCCTGGAAGTACCCGGCGTACACCGCGGGGCAAAAAGATCGGAGCGAGGCGCGCCGGGAGGGCATGGTGTCAGTCGTCGAGAACCTGAACCCGCAGGTCGTCGTCGTGGACGAGATCGGAACGCCCGGAGAGGCCAAGGCTGCCAAGACGGTCGGTGCGAGGGGCGTGCGCATCATCGCCACTGCACACGGAAGTTCACTGCGAGACCTGATGGGCAACGTGGAGCTCCGAGACCTGATCGGCGGCCTTCAGGAGGTCACTCTCGGGGACAGCAGCGCACGTGCCAGGTCTGATCACCGCAAGGTGCAGACCGAGAGGGTCTCGAAGCCCGTGTTCCAAGTCCTGGTGGAGGTGCGGTCCGACTCCCTCGTGATTCACCACGATTTGGCTCTGTCGGTGGACCGGCTTTTGGAAGGCACGACCCTCTTCGTCGAGGAGAGGGCTTTCCAAGGTGCAGCCAAGATGACTCGGTGGCGTCAGTTCTTAGCGCCCAGTCGGGGGTCATGCGTGAGGAACGGGAGCAGAAGTAATTGCAGGACGCGGATGAGGGGGACCGCAAATCAAGAAAAAACAACTATTTCTGTTCCAACCATCCTGTGGTGTTGAGTCCTCCTCCTCCCCCTCTTACCCCTCTCTCCTCCTTTTTCGGCACACTCCTCGCACGCTTCGTGGCCCCGTTGGGAGCACCAACGAAGGCCCATCTGTCAAAATTCACATGAGTTCCCGCTTCTCATTCGGCTCACCCCTCAAACGCTTCGTGGCCACATAGACAGCCCCAACCAAGGCCCAACTGCTAAAGATCACATGAGCTCCCGCCGCTCATTTCGGCACACCCCTCGCACGTCTTGAGACCCTATACAGGGGGCTCCAGCGAAGGCCCAACTGCCAACGTTCAAATGAGCTCCCACCTCTCATTTCGGCACGGCCTCCTCATGTTTCGTGGCCCCATAGGGGGCCCCAACTAAGGCCCAACTGCTAAAGTTCACATGAGCTCCCGCCGCTCAGTTCGGTACACCCCTCGCACGCTTCGAGGCCCCGTAAGGCGGCTCTCCAGCGAAGGCTCAGCTACCAAAGTTCACATGGTCTCCCGCCTCTCATTTCAACACGGCCCTCGCATGTTTCGTGGCCCGATAGGGAGCCCCCAATATGGCCAAAGTGCAGAATTTGAGGTGCGTTCCTGCCGCTTATTTCGGCACACCCCTCGCGCGCTTCGTGGCCCAGTACGGGGGGCCCAATCGAGGCCCAAACGCCAATGTTCACATGAGTTCCCGCCTTTCATGTCTGCAGACCTCTCGCACATTTCGCAGCCCCGGAGGACCCCCCCAAGTAAGGACAGCATGCCGAAGATCACATGCGCTCCCGCTTCCAATTTCGGCACGCTCTTCTCACGCGTCGCGGCCCCAGAAGGAGCCCAAGCTGAGACCCAAATGCGGCAGTTCACATGAGCCCCCGTTGCGAATTTCGGTACGTCCCTCGCACGCGTCGTTGCCTCATCGAGAGCCCCAACTACGGCCTACATGCCGAAGTTCAACTGAGCTCCCGTCTCTCATTTCGGCACTCCCCTCGCACGCTTCTTGGCCCTCCACGGGGACTGCAACGGAGGCCCACAAGCCAGGATTCGCAAGAGCTGCCGCTCTTCATTTAGGCACACCCCTCGCAAGCTTCGTGGCCCAAGAGGGAGCTCCGACTGAGGCCCACCTGCCAGGGCTCGCATGCTTCCTTTCGGGGTGACCATCACGCGTCGCGGGGACTCCCCGTGCGCTGTGCCTCCACGAGGTGCCCTTGCTCCCTGGAAAAAGGGGGCGACGTGTGTATCCCTCGCGGGTGGCTGAAAGAAACTGCTCTCCGAGCACCCGCTCGCTCCCCAGCTCGCTCCCCAATCCCGCCGTACTCTCCTCGGCCCACCCCCTCCGTGCCCCGGTCCCTGCTGCTCGCCCCCCCCCCCCCCCGAGAGCTCGCAGCTGCGTGTTGTTGAGTCCTTCGCCAGGGTAGTTTGAGTGTGACATAGGGGCTTGGCCACTGGACCATTCGTTTTTGCGAGGGACAGCTCTCAGGAGGGGAAAAACGCACACAGACACTAGGAATCGTCGATCCCCGGGAAACAATGGGAAAAATATTGGAAGTGGGGAGGAAGACGAAAACACAGAAAATATTTGAAAATGTGGGGGATCTGGTTATTTGTGTATTCATTTGTTTGTCCCAGGGCCCCTTCAAGCTCGTTTCGCGAAGGAACCAATGATTTCGCGAGCCCACCGGGTGGACCACTAAGTGGCCCATTTCGGTCCGCGGTTCCGTCCGCGCCTCGTTCGGCCCCTTCCCTGAGCGGCCGGGCCTCCCCTGAGCGCACATGTGAACGTAAAAGTAATGACGGGCGATGGCGACAGGAGGAGGACGAGGAGGAGGATGAGGAGGAGGCGGAGGAGGCGAAGGATGGGGGAGGAGGAGGATGACGAGAAGGAGGACAAGGAGGAGGATGAGGAGGCGGAGGAGGCGAAGGAGGGGGAGAAGGAGGATGAGGATGAGGAGGAGGCGGAGGAGGAGGAGGAGGAGGAGGAGGAGGAGGAGGAGGAGGAGGAGGACTTGGCGAGGGACACCATTGGCAGACGGTTTCGTTCTCGCAGGGGGGTCTCTCGCAGGTGGGCTGCGTCAGGCGATGGGGAAGGGAAGAACGAAGAGGAGGACCGGGAGAAGGAGCACGAGGAGGAGGAGGAGGACGACGAGGAGGAGGAGGACGACGAGGAGGACGAGGAAGAGGGCCATGACGGCGAGGAGCAGAGCCAGGAGGAGCCCGAGGAGGAACACTGTGCTAGAGCGACCCAGACAGGGAGTTCTCTGGCGCGTGGCCACGGGCGCCACGCTCGTGCGCCGCGCTGTCCCTCCCGCGGGCCCCCCAGAGGATTCTGCTTGAAACTGCAGTCGAGACGCGGAAGCAAGGAACTGTTTGGTTTCGGAAGGGGCTCGATGTTCCCCAGGTTCCTCCCTTGCTGTCCTTCTCGCCCTCCTCGGGCACGGAGGCGCATTTAGGGCCAAAGAGGGGCTTCGTTCCTTATTTAGCGTTCCTTCTTTCAGCGGCCCGACTGTAGGGCTTTGACTCAGTGGGCTCCTTCGCTTTTGCGGGGGGGCGCTGGCTGAGAGCGGAGGGGGGCCTGCAGAGATCCTCGCAGCGTGCATGCAGCACGGCAGGGCGGGAAGCTCTGTGGCGCAGGACCAGCCGGGGCGGTCGAGCAGCGCTGACCATTTGTCGGACCAGGCGCCGCTACCTCGCGACCTCTATGGGCGCAGACACGCCCATGTACGTACACGTTTTGTCTTGTCCTCCTCTGCCATTCTACTCTGCGCTGGTCTTGAGGTGACTTCGAGGGGAGAGACCAGGGAGGCAGGGGATCGGTCGAGGCACAGAAGGTGAGCGATGGCAGCAGAAGACGAGGCGGTGGTGGAGGAGAGGCACCGACTGGATTCCCACGCTGATCACCTGGTCTTCGGTGCAGCTCTCCCCAGGTTTCGTCGTGTTGTTGATGGTGGCGAGTGGTGGTGAGGATGGTGATGGCAGCTGTGGTTGCGGTTGTGATTATTCTGGTGATTCGGGCAGTTATGACTATTGACCCTTGTTCTCGGGACGGTTGTGACAAATATCATGACCCAGTTGCGCTGCTGCGTGTATCCGCCTCCACGCTGGGGGGAACTGCGCGGCAGAGCTGCGCAGCAAGGCTGCAGTGTGGCACGGCGTCGTCGCTGTGTGGCTCATCCCGTCGGCGGTGCCTCTCCGTGCCCCCCTTCCGTGGAGGCACTCGAGGGTCTATAGTGCGCCTCTTGACGTCTGTTGGCGATTCTGAGGCCATCGATTAGGGGGGGGGGGGCTTGGGCCCTGGGGCTGCTGGGGGTGGTGGCCGCAGGGTCGTCTTGGAGGGTCTTGGTGCATCTTGCTGGGCAGATTCGGGCCACTGTGGAGGCCCATGACGAGAGGCACCCTGCTTGCCTCCAGGGTGCCCTGGGTCTCGATGGTTTTGCTATGGAAAGCGTGACGCTCCCACACCAAACATCAATGGACGCCCTGGGGTTCCAGGCTCGGGTTTTTTTGTGGAAGGTTTCTTTGTGGTCGAGCTCCTATTGTATCTTGGGCTGCGCTGGGCTGGCAATGGGCCACTCCGGCCGCCGGTCGGAGCAGCCGTGAGTCGTCCTGTAGATAGAGCCGCAGGAGACTTACCCTCGGGGCCCTGGGGAGCCTTCGAAGGGCCAGGCGCATCGTGTCCCCAAACACCGTGTCTTGTGCAATGAGGAGGAGGAGGAGGAGGAGGAGGAGGAGGAGGAGGAGGAGGAGGAGGAGGAGGAGGAGGAGGAGGAGGAGGATAGGAGGAGGAGGAGGAGGAGGAGGAGAAGGGGGATGAGGAGGAGGAGAAGGGGGAGGAGGAGAGGAGGAGACGCAGGATGAGGAGAAGGGGGAGGAGGAGGATGAGGAGGATGAGGAGGAGGAGGAGGAGATCCGCTCTGGGTCCTGCAGCGAACAGCGCTGTTGCAACAGCAATCTTCCGTTGGGATCCTTGGCACGGGGGGTGTTCTACGAGTGTTGATCAGGACCGCATGCCGACTGACTAGAAGGGTTTGGGCCAGGCCCCATTCGTAAAGCGCGGTGGTTGGTTTACGGTCACAGTGAACGTATCAATACCACGGTCATTGCATTTGTCACATCGCTTCCGACATCCTCATTGCGGCTGCCAAAGCTATTTCCTGTCTTTGCCACTGTTGCTGTGAGCGTCGCGTGTCTGATTAGATCGTACTGTGTCGGTGAGCGTCGTCATCAGTGTTGTCGACGTTCTTTTACACTGCCAGCTTTAACGGATCTAGCTGCTTCAGAACAGCAGGGAGAACACGATGTTGATGAAACCACTGGGCAGTGGTGTCAAAAGACAGTGCGCCAGTGTTGATCATAAGGGTGATGACGACGCCGATCCCATTATTGCGGTGCATTTGCTGCTGCAGGCGCGGACCTCTTAGTTTGGGCAGGTCGGACCAGTGATTCCTAGTGACGGCGACGATTTGTGTATGTGGATGCGTGAGCTAGCACATCTTCAAGCAGGTGGACAGTATCTGCTTTTTGATGCTATATAGGCGGACAGTATCTGCGAGCAGCGCTCCGTGCACGCGCAATCCAACGTGTCTCAAACGTTTTCACTTTGTCTCAGTCAGGGGCTGGCTGGTCGCGTGAACGGCGGTCGGCAATTCCCTTAGCTGCCTGAGCTCGGTGGCTTTGTCCTAAGCTCTTTGTCTTCTTGTGGAGCGCGCTCGCGATGGGAAGTGGACAAGTTTGGCAGCGGCAGCAGTCGCAGCACCAGCGCATGCCTTTGTATTCTCATTCCCTGACAGGCCGCGCGTACGCAGGCCTCCCCGACGGGTCCGCCGCTCGACTGGCCCGTGCTGGTCATCAACTTGGACAGGACGAGTCTCCTCTCCAGCCAGGGCAAGGCTCAGTAGCAGACGTTCGGATATGCGCCCACCATGTGGTTCACTCTTATCCTCCTACCTCCCTTGGGATTCTTTTCCACTCCCTTCCTTTTCTCCCTCTTCTCCCGCCCCGCGCTCGTCGTCGTCCATTTTGGCTGGCTCAGGCTTCCGAGGGGTCACACTTGCCAGCCAGCTCCACACTGCCCACTACACGCTGCCTCCCTTTCTGCGAGCGGTTTCGGCGACGCTCGCAGGACGGCCGCTCCACGCGTCCTGTGCTCACCGCATGTCGTCCCGCGCCCCGGGGCGGGGTTTGCTCTTCTCCCGTGGGTGCCTTGGATCCACGCGACCTCCACGTGTCGTTGGGCGGTGGCTCCGCCAAAGTCTCCGCGGCCAGCCCCCGCCACAGACGGGCAGCCGCGCCGTGTTCGGTGCCCCTGCTCTACGCTTTGGGGGGGGGGGCCCGGCCTCGGCAGGGTGCCCCCGTCGAGGGGCCCTGCCCTGCTGCCATCGAAGTGCTGGGCTTTCCCCCTCCTTCCTCCGCCTTCTCCTCTTCCTCCTCTTTCTATTCCTCCACTTCCTCCTCCTCCGAAACTTGCAGCTAAGCGAAGTCGGCTTAGAAGCAAAGGCCTTAGCCTGCTCTTCCGATTCGGTGTCCCTCAGCTTGTTCTTCCGACTTAGTTTCCGTATCCAGGACCCCAGAATCATATCTCTTTCTCATCAGATTCTTCCTCCTCCTCCTCCTCGCTCGCCTGCTGCCTGGCGAGCGTTCTCAGTTCTGGGGATGCGGTGGCCGCGCCATCTTTCTCGAGAGCGGGACGGGACGGGCGCGGAGCTCGCTCCGCAACCGCGGCGTTCTGCTGTGCTCGCCCTGCTTCCACGGGCCCGCGGCTAGAGGCCCTGTTCAGGCAGGTCTCGCTGGCGATTCTGCGCAGCACCAGAGGGGACCGCCCCCTTGCGCGCAACAGCCTGCAGAGGGCCTGGGCGGCATGGGACAAAATGCTCGGCCGGGCGCCGGGTCCTGAATTTGCGACATGAAGGGGCGCGAGCCCAAGCTGCGCGGTCGTCCGACATCGGGCCATTTTCGCACGGGGTCGATTTGGAGTTGATCGTGAGGGCCAGGTGATGCAAGTATGCTCCGCGCTCTCTTCTGACATCGAGTGCGGGTCTGGGATGAGCCCGGGGGCGGTAAGGAACCATATCTGCGTGGGCCTTCCTCTCGAAGGTCTTGCTCGCGCGCGCGCATAGCCATGGCCCCTGGGACTGCCTGAGATCATCCCAGGATCCGCGGCCACCTTCCTTTTGTTCGTAGCTTCCGACTTGTGTGCATGTGTGTGTGTGCGTGCTCCACGTCAACCTCACGCTGCCTGCGGTCGGCCGCCCGCCGGAAGCCGCGCCGGCGCAGCGCGCGACGCCGCTGGGCAGGCGCGCCCCGAGGCACCCCTCGCGGGGGGCTCGGGCTGCTCGCCTCCAGGAGCGGGCGCCGCCCGGCCTCTCCGCGGGCCCACGCCTCGCGCTCGCGCTCGCGGCGCCGACGGCCGAGGTCGCCCTGGGTGGCTCGGCCCTCCAGGGTGCGGGCGCGCCTCGCGCCGACCGTCCGCGCCCGGCGCGGGGCCGCGTCGAGGCCGGAGCTTCGCGATGCGGGATGGGGCGGCAGAGGGGAGTGGTGGGCAGGGGCGTGGGGGCCAGGTTCGGGCACGCGGCGCGGGCGGCCTCGAGGCCTCGGGTGTGGCTGGAGGCGCCCGCCGGGCCAGGGGTGTGTCCCCGGGAAGGTTCCCAGCAGGCCCGGGTGGCCTCCGGAGAGCACCCCATCGCGAGCCCCAGAGGGCCCCAGGTGCGCGGTGCGATGCCCGCGATCCTCCCCCGGGAGGGACGCAGGCGGCGTTTGCGCTGATCCAGGGTGCCCTGCTGTGGGCGGGTATCCCTGCTCCTCCTCCTCCTCCTCCTCCTCCTCCTCCATTTCCTCCTCCTCCTCCTCCTTTTCCTCCTCCTCCATTTCCTCCTCCTCCTCCTTTTCCTCCTCCTCCTTTTCCTCCTCCTCCTTTTCCTCCTCCTCCTCCTCCTCCTTCTCTTCCTCTCCCTCCTGGTGGCGCTCCCCCATGCCCGGCGCGAACAGCTGCGGACAGCCTGCGCGAGGACCGCCTGCGGGCAGCACCAGAGCAGCAGGGTGTCCTTCCGCCAAGAGGGCGGGAGTGCGCCTCCAGGGCACATCGCAGGGGTCTGGAGTGGCTCGCGGGCGATAGGCGGTGCAGCATGTCTGCTACTCTAGGCCTCCTAGATGGGGTCCGAGTAGATGGGGTCGGGGGATCGCGCCGCATCGCCGATGCATCGCCGATGCGGCTCGATGCGGAGCCCGATTTTCTCCACGCCGATGGCGCCGATGCATCGCCGATGCGGCGCGATCCTCCGACCCCATCTACCCGGACCCCATCCAGGAGGCTTTGTGGAGGCCTATGCCAAGAGACACCCTGCTTGCCTGCAGGATGCCCTGGGTTTCCTGGGCTTAGATATGGTTCTGCGATGGAGAGCGTGGCGCTCCCACACCAGACATCACGGGACTTCCCAGGGTCTCGGGGATGGGATTCTTGTGGGAGGTTTCTTGCGGTCGAGCTCCTACTGTACGGCCCGCCAGCGGGGGGACGCCCGTCCCAGGGGCGGCTGGTCAGTTCGTGCCCCGCCGTGCCCGAGCGTTGCTCTCTGCCCAGGAGGGGAACACACACATACACACAACACAACACAATACAACACAACACAACACAACACAACACAGCACAACACACCACAACACAACACAACACAACACAACACAACACAACACAACACAACACAACACAACACAACACAACACAACACAACACAACACAACACAACACAACACAACACAACACAACACACCACAACACACACACAACACAAACACAACAACACCACACCACACCACACCACAACACACACACAACACAACACAACCACAACCACACACAACACAACACAACACAACACAACACAACACAACA